CCTCATTTTTAACGATCCTGTATTGTAACCCTGAATAAAATGGATGAAACATATCGGTGGACTGTTTTTGGTAGTCCTTATCAAAATTGGGCCGTAAGTTATTCGAATGGTGCGCCTACGTATGTTTACCAAGAAAAGAAATGTAGGGAAATGTCTCTTCTTTTCTTTGTTTCAATTTCGCAACCCAGTTTTGTAAAAAGAAGAGAAATAAGGACGAGGGACCAATTGATAAGGACTGTTCAGTTTATGTTTCCCCACAAAGTAATTCACTTTTCTGAGCAACTGTTTTGTAGCCAGAGAAGAAGATTTTAATGGATCTCTAGAAGAGTTGGGGGTAGAAAGTTGATTTCTGTTCCCGTGATCTCCCTTGGTTTTGGTATGGAGAGATTTAGCTTATACCACAACACATCACATGCTGAGATGACAAAGCGCGAAAAATAGAAGCTGGGCTATGATGTCATGGGGACCAGAACTGTCCATGTTGCAGTGTCGATTCAAAAATACGGAATAATCAATCACGTGTTTCTCTTTCTACACTAAAATGATTGTTTTGAGAAGTAGTCTTGAGAAGTAGAAGTAGAGTCCACCGATATGTGTCAACCGTTTTATTTAGAATTACAATACAGGATCGTCTAAAATGAAGATGGGGAAGAGACATGAGAAAAAAGGGAAAATGAGGGGAGAAGGTGACAAGAGAAAGAAGATTGATAAATTTCCATAACTTTCAAAAATGAGGAAGAGAGCTGCCTCTACCAATGAGGAGTGGAGGGAGAGACAGGAGCAGAAAAAGAGAATCAGGAGAGAAGGTGACAAACAGTACAGAAAGGCACGAAAGGTGATGATTGAGAACATTTGAAGACCGATGAGGAGCAGGCGAATTGAGGGCACAAATTGGGAAGAGAAGGAGGCATAGAATAGAGATGAGGGAAGGAATTGGAACAGTTGAGAAAGAACTAGAAATGATGAGAGAAGAGCAGAATAAATGGGAGAGATGACAAAAATTCATATAGATTGTAAGGGTCTACAACGAAAAAGAGAGAGGGGGGGGGGGGATGAATAACGGGAGAATGAATGTGAGTGTATTGAAATTTTTTAACGGAAAAAATGGGACATATTGCAAAATGGTGACACACGATAAAATATTTTCAAGAACTGCCTCAATCGGATTGATCGTCGAGCGCCTCCGTAATAACTTCCTCAAACTCTTCAAACCCTCCTTCCTCCAGAATTGTGTACTCCAAATCACCGTCACTTCCAGTTGAAGGAACAGAAATGGAGCGATGACGGACCAGGTGATCACGTCTGTCCAGAACTGGTTCCGCTTCTTCGGCAGGTTCCACAATGATGGATCTCTCGAGTTCCCAGTTCGAGTTGGAGATGAGGTCCAATCTGAAATTGAATATTTTTCAAACATCAAAACTGATGGGACCAACTTTTTGATCGAGAACACTCGGAAGAATTTGGAGTCCTTCCGTGGATTGAACGCAACTTCCACCATGTCACTCTCCCGAGTTGGGTATCTACCATTTTTAAGGCCTTCCCATGCAAAGTACGTGACGAAGATGTTCTCCGCGGTAAACCCATCCGGGGAAAGAGTTTCTTGTGCGAATCGGCCCTACAAGTTATGATGGTCGAATTGACTTGGAAAAAGTAACTCACGATTCTGTTCAATTTGTACTGTTGTATTTCACAAACAGCAATCTCCAAATCAATTAAAGTGGTCAAGTCGCAGTTCTGAAAATACCTATATGAAATGAATTGAACAACTTGAACCAATACCTTGTTTTCCAAGAACGACCTCAATTCACTCAAACCCAGTTTCACCTCAAGAGACCAGTAAATGGGCTCATTGAAGAAGTGTTCGCTGAAGTCTCGTTTCCACATTTTCTGGAATAAAAACTAGTTATCAGGATCGGCAAAAACTAATTTTTACCAAAGAATCAATGTTCTCGTCGAACGCCTCAATGGCGGCGTCGACTCGTCCCATGAAGAGAAGTCGCTCGTCCTCGCTAAGTTGCTCGAATTCAAGATTCGTTGACATTGCCCAAGATCGTCTGAAAAAAGACAGAAATTACAATAGGAAACGCTAAAAAACAGTATTGAACCGGCAAAGTATCGAAAGACAAGAAGGGGAAGACAAGAAGGGAACGGGGCGGCACAAACAGACACCACCAATGGGGAACAGAGAAAAGAAAAGTGGCAAGATGCACTTTTGTCTGTCGACCACAGATACGCAAAATTTTGAAACGTCTACCATCCTACTAGCACGGTTCTCTTCGAGTGACAAAAAAGTGCGCAAAAAGAAGTGGAAGAACAGAACACGGCGTGTAAGAAAATAGAAGAAAATGACGGAATCTTTGCTAGTGAGCGCGTGCTTCTTGCCCATAAAATAGACTGGGGAACGGAACATGCACGAGGAGGTGGTTTCCATCAACGTCGATTTTCAAATTATCGGAATGGACGAATTTTGGTCCAATTTTTATTTTTCGATTCTAAGACGTGGGAATGCAAATAGAAAAAAACAATATATATATATATATATATATGGAATTTTCGAAATGTCTACAGATGGAGCATCGAAATGAAGGAGAGGGAGATGGGGCACGGTACAAGATGTGGAAAGGGCATTTATGAGAAAACTAACACAAAAAATTCATTTCGACCGGGACAGAGGACCTATCTCAACAAGGATAGTTTTCTAGTTTGGTAGGTCTGGAGTATTCTTAGTTATACATACATATATCAACGATTTTTTGGGAAGATAATAAGAACACAAAGGGTGGGGACACTGAAATCAGATAAGAAGGATTTAGATGAAGCAGACAAGTGTTACTAGTGTGTGTGTCTGGAAATATTAGAGATTTTACAATCTAGATAGGTTTTTACCTAACTAACATATGAACTAAATTGGTAGACAAAATAATTGTAAAGTACAGAAAAATGAGAAAATAGAGGAAGTACAGAAATTATGAACAAAAAATAAAGTGGTTGGAGAAAGAGAAAAAGTAAAAAATAACTCATTGGAAATCACGAGTAGCTGTTTGTTTTTAGAGTTCTTTCCATGTCTTGGCCATTTGGTAGTCTTTTCCTTGATACTCAATAGTTCCACCAATTTTGTATACATTCTGATGCCAGGCGGGATCGTTTTGCCATCCTTCTGGAGCAAGTCCATCCGGAACCAGTTTGTAAACGGGAGCATCCGAGTTTTTAGGCATTAGGTACATACCAGGAATTTGTGGTTCAACTGATAGCGGTGGCGGTGATTCCATGTATGGTGAAGAGTATTGATCAGAATTTGAAAGTGGATTAAGATCCAAAGATTGATTGATATTTGAATTAAAATTAAAATCCACAATCGAACTCTTCGGGATAACCTGAAACTTAGTTGTACTCATTTCCGTGATATTTGACCATAAGAAAATTACCCTTCTGTTTAGACGACTGTTGAGCATTTGACCAGTAGAATAGCATTTCACGAAAGGATTTCGTTTTCGTCTTGTCATGTGTGGAGGAATATATGATTTGGAAGGAACGGGGTTAAGATTCACAGGTGAATTGGAAACAAAATTCCTGCCAGAATCCAAATCCAATGAATGATAGGAATTCCAAACAGTAGCCACATCTTGAGTTGAATCGACAGGACTGCCCATTGCATTCTTTGAGTCGAAGAGGTTTTTGAGAATTTTCACCGCTACCTCCCATTTAGCCAGGTTGCAAAATCCCACATCATAGTAAAGTTTGACGCCTGTAAAAGACATATCAATGTCATGTAAGTGGTATTGACTGCTATTAACTCACATAGCTCCATCTCCTTTCTATCATTAGGATTGTAAAAGTCCAAGTTCTTGACGCTTTCCTCACAGGCTTTGGTCAAATCAATGCGAACCTGAGCCAAAATTTTCAAACATATACGAAATTCGTTATCATAATGAGCTGTGTAGTCAGCGTCCAATACTGCGTTTATTTTTACTTTATGATCGATTGCAAAGTGCCCTCCCATATAACGGAATCTGAAATATTTTTCTAAAATTAAAACTTTGTTTCCTACGAACTAACTTCAAGTGGTCAAGATTGTATCTCGAGAGTTGAAATTGTTAAGATTTTCGAGTAATACGAGTTGAATCATTGCTGGAATACTGATCGGGATTCTCAAATTCTTCATCAACGAGACACAGGAAGTTTCAAATTCTGATTCCTTCCTTTTGAATTGAGACAAATCATCTGGAAGTGGATCTCTTCCGTGATATCCTCTGAAATTTTTAAAAATGTATCTCAGAAAGACTTCTTTATGCTTACATGATTTTTTTGAAGTCGGCCGCGCCTGTTTTTGTAAAGAAGTCTTGCAATGGGAACATGAGGACGATGACAAACATTTGCAACGGAATTTTTTGAACCATCATGTTTGAAGAAACGGATGCCACAGAACGAAGATGGCTATAAAATTTGATGTGAGCTAGGAAATTTGGATAAGGACTTACTGCCAAATGGCGAGGGTGCTTCCGTTCAAACGCGGAATTCTATTGAACGATCCTTTCAAAGTCAAACCGTTATGAAACCGATCAAGATTCAAAATATACTTGAGCTTTATGCTGTGTGTTAGAATTAGTTTTCCAATATCTGAACACGAAAGAATACTATATGCAAAAATGTTTTGCTTACTTTCTCTCTCCGAAAACTTTAGAAGGTCATTTATAGTCAATGGTTCAGAAGTCGGAAAATACTTTGCTTGGATTGCCGAAACGAAAGAATTGTACCTATGAAAAATTTGGAATCGGTTTGGGTGTGAATACAATCAAAACTTACTGATCTGGAATTTTGAAGAATTTAGTGGTTGAGACATTTAACTCGTTTTCAAGATTTTTAATAACTGTCAATATCTGAATAATCGACTTCATGTTAATTTCCTATAAAAATACACAGGGAAATTAGTTCAAACGCCGCAATTTGAAGTGTGACTTACGATATCCTTGATTTGACTGAATTTAGTTGCTTCCAATTTTGAGAGCTCATCTTCTCCAATTGTATCAAAATTAGTAATACCATAAGCGAATGCATCAAATGTCAAAACCGACATCTGGTGATGATTATTTACGGAGAACAATGTGCAATTATAATTTTCTAAAATGAGTTCACAGTTTAGAAACAAGTTGTCAGAAAAAGTGCAAAGTCAAAAGTATGTGCCAAATGAAAACCCTATCAAATCTTTAACCTAGAGCAGCCAGTACTCTCTAAACAAGGATTATTTAGAAAAAAAGAAGAAGTCTTTGAGGAGGTAATCTCAAAATGAAGTTAAAAAATTGATACTTTGAAAGCACATTTGTTGCCTATGGGAGAGAAACCCGGGGTCATAATTATGCCTTATACGTTAGCATTTCGGGTTTCTCAATATTAAACAGCTCATGTGCCTATGTTAAGTGTGAAACTAGTAAACTCAAGAAGATAGTCCTTTCAAAACTCTGATGTTTTTGAAATTGAAGAATTGGGAAAGACAATTTAGAAACGATCAATACATAATAAAAGAAAAAAGCTTGAGAAATGGTCGAAGTGGCAACCACTCGCTGGTCGGAAAAATGAGTCACCGAAAATTATGTACAGTCCCCCAAGCCAATGGTTGTAAAGAGAGACGAATTTCAAAAAAGAGCAATATATGCAACTTTCGTCAGAGGTTGAGCGTGTGAAATATAAATCATGAACCTATGACCTATAATTTCTATTCTAACTTCGATCATCTAGGTTTCGAAAAAGCTGTATGAATTCAGGATGGCAGAATTTCAATGAATTCGATTTGGACTTTTGAGCAAGAAAAATATTTTCGAAATCTCACATGAAAACCTTTTCCTCCCATTCGAGAAAGATTATTTTTCTTTATAGGTTTAGATAACTTTTGTGTCTTACACTGAGCAAAACGTTTCCGTTTCCAACACTCATTCTATGAACAAAACCTGAAATAAAAATTCTTGATATCTGTGAAGTGTACCACGTCGATTTTTAAAAAGTGTTCCGCGATACCATCCATTTCATCATGTCCGTGCCGGCGCAAAACAAAATATAACTACTGTCGAATCGAATTTCTATATTCGTTATTTTCAACAGAATTTGTGCCTGCTATCAGAAAGTACATTGGCTTAATTGACTTTTTTGGACTGAAAATTTTGTAGACTGAAAACGTTTTTGGCAAAAATTCATTTTAGCACCACATCTGAAACGATTAATTCACAACAGAACCTTCACTCTTGCGGTTTTGCTCCTGCCGCAATCAGCTCTGCTTTAAGCTTATTGATCTCCATCGCTGTATGACACATGACGACGAGATCCGCATGACACAGTGGCTTCTCTCCAAGACGAGCGAGCGTGAGGTTAAGCGCAATGAGTCTGTCCAATTTTGCAAGGCGATCAGCGCTGCCACCGTCGGCAGCCTGGAAAAAATGGGATAGACTGGAGAATGGTCTTTGTGAACTTACAACAACGGTGCGCATGAAATGAAAATGGTGAGCTTCCAGGCGATTATGCATGATTTGAGATTCTGGGAAGTTGTTCGCAGTTCCGAAAACATTGATCCAATCAGTAGCACGGGGTAATTGCGGTGGTGGATTCATTTTTCAGTACACAAGCGTCTGAAAAGAGATGCGAATTATCTAGAAAAAGAAGAAAACCCAAGAAAAATGCATGAAACATTTGAATCAGTCAATGTTTGTTTTAAATTCATACGCTGTTAGAACATCAGATGTAAATGAGAAAAATGGAGAGGGAAAAATAATGGTGAATCGCACTTATTTCATTTTTGTGAGAGTTCACACAATTTTCTCTTCTCTTATGTTTCGCTCTGTAGGTAACAAAAATGAAGGTGAGAGACTCAGACGACCTTCTGTTGGCGACGAAGAAAGTGATGATACGTCCATACCAGACATACTGTTGAAAAGAGGGACAGAAAATGGGTATGCATGGGAGCAAACACGTGTTAAGGAAAGAAGTCTGTTTACCAGGGACTGTCGAACAGAGAGCTTTCCAGAATTTTCCCTATTTAAGTGCAATTATAGAATCGAGTATTGGCTTTCACGCAGAAATTCGAGGAACCCAGATCTGAAAATATGGTGATCCACCGGAGTCTCATTCTTTCCTTTTTCCTCCTTTTATATTTATTTCAATCGGTTCTCATTCATTTTTTCGGCAATTTTTTTTGGTTCAGAAATGTTCCACTTTCCGGCTTGTTTAAAGCTTTTCAACACAAAAGTTGTCGAAAAGCAATCGTAATAAGAACAAAAACCGAAAAATTCTGGTTACGGTGGTTTTCGTTACTGGTATTATTGGTCACGCCCACAAGCTTTACTCTTCCACAGCTCAGATCGTTATGTGCCAGAATGATAAAGTCTCAGGAATTTTTCAATCGAGCAAAACTTTTCAACGTTTTCTTGGATTTATTTTCTCACAGGAATCGTTCTGAAAACCAAAATCCTCCCAAAAGAAAGATTCGATACGAATTTTTTTGTATTCGAAAAATATTTCTAGTCGAAGACTATCCTGATAGTAAATACCCGGTACGTTTGAGAAATAGAGTACCAGAAACAATCCACCAACATGTTTTATGGTTCACTTTGACAGGGATAACAATATATGCTTGTAAAAAATGAAAGGAGAGACAAGAGCAGAAAAAAATGAGAGGATAAGAGACAAATAGTACAGAACGGCACGAAGAGTGGCGAAAAAGAAAATTGGAAGACTGATGAGGAGCAGATAGAAATGCGAGCGCGAATTTTGAGGGGAAAACATTAGATGAGGGAAAAAATTGGAACATTGGAGGAAAAACCAATACTATGAAGGAAAGGGCAAAATGAGTGGGAAGTATGACAAAAAAATCAACTTGTTAGGGTCTACAAAAAAAGAGAGAGAGAGAAGATGAATAATGGAAAAATGGGGGAATTGACCTTTTTTGGTGGTAGAAAAATAGGACATATATGCAGACGGGGGGGGGGGGGGGGATCATTATCTTCAGAAATGTTTCAATTGGATCGATCGGCCGACAAGCTGCTTTCTGTTAGTTCAAATTAGTTGAGCTAGAGGACACCTCCTGTGCCGAATCTGAGTTTCGAAGTTCCCGATTTGTTTCATATTTCAACATTTTCTCAAACTCCGCGAACTCTCCTTCCTCGAGAATCGTGAACTCGACGCCATCATTACTTCCAGTTGAGGCATCTGAGATGGAGCGGTGGCTGACCAGGTGATGATGTCTTTCTAGCACTGTTTCCACTTCTTCCACTAATTTCGCGTCTTCCGATTCCACCGAGATGGAGCGTTGACGGAAGAAATGATGATTTCTTCCCAGCATTCAGGTTTGCTCAATCGGATCAACAATAATAGCTCTTTCGAGCAGCCAAGAAGTATTGGTTAACATTTCTAATCTGAAAAATTAATGTTTGTCAAGTATTCAAACTACGGTAAACACTCTAATAAAACGCCACAGTCAACTTTGAGTCTTTATATCTCGGTTTCTATGGGAGATATGAAAAAAGTGATTAACTAATAAAATGTCGCTGAAATTATGACGATCTTTTGTTAGTTAAGCACTTTTGATATCTTCGACAGGATGCAAGATGAATAGGCTCAACGTTGATAGTTTGGCTCGCGTTCTATTAAAGGGTTTACAGTAACTTGACTAACTTTTTCACCGATAAAACGCGGAAAAACTTGGAGTCCTTCTGAGGATTGTAAGCGACTTCCATCGAGTCACTCTCACGAATTGGGGAATTGCCATTTCTAAGTCCTTCTTACATCCGGTACGTGATCCAGACGTTCTCCGCAGTAAACCCTTCTGGCGAAAGAGATTCCTTTGCAATATTGCCCTACAAACTACGATTGTTAGATCGACTCGGAAAAAATAACTCACGATGCGGTTTAGTTTGGATTGCTGAATTTCAAGCAATACGTTCTGTAGATTCATTAGAGTGCTCACGTCGCAATCCTGAAACTATCCATGTAAAAAAAACGAAAAACTCGAAGAAATACCTCTCGTTCCAAAACAATCTCATTTCGTGCAAAGCAAGCTTCACCTCAAGCGACTAATAAATGGGTTCGTTGAAGAAATGTTCGCTGAATGAGTTTTTCCAGTTTTTCTGAAATCAAATCTTGTTATCGTAATTGGCAAAAAATGAATTTTCAACCAAAGAATCTATGTTCTCATCGAACGCTTCGATGACCGCGTCAACCCGTCCCCTCAAGATAAGTCTCTCGAGCTCCCACATTCGCCGGAATCCAAAAATCAACGACATTTATAAGATCCTCTGTGAAAAAAAGGCAAAAGTTACGAAAGGAAAAACTTTATTAAATCGGCACAGTATCGGGAACGACGAGACAGACACAATCAATGGGAAGCAGGGAACAAGTAAAATGGCAAGACCAACATGCGACTAGCACGATTCTTTTCGAGTGACTAAAAAGTAGAAGAATATAAGAAAATGACAGAATCGTCGTCAGTGCGCGCGTGCTTCTTGGCCATAAAAAATAGACTACGGAACATGCACGAGGAGGTGGTTCCCGTCAACATTGGTTTCAAATTATTGAAAGGAGCCAATTTTGGTCAGTTTTTTGAAATTAGCGATCTACTATGTGGGAATGGAAATATATCAACAAGAAAAATATCAAAATGAAAGAGAGGGAAAATGGGGAAAGGATGGAAAGCGTGCAAAAACTTCACAAAAAGAGGAAAAGTTCAGTTTGAAAACAAATATGTTGCCTATGGAGAGAAACCCGGGGTCCTAATTATACCTTCAGTTAGGATTTCAGGTTTTTCAATTTTAAACAACTCTTGTGTCTATGTTAAGTTTGAAACTTGTAAGTCCAAGAAGATTGTCCTTTAAAAAGTCTAATCTCAAAATTGAAGGCTTGTGAAAAACAATTAGAAATGAGCATTACATGAAAAATTAAAAAGCTTAAAAAATGGTCAAAGTGACAACCATTTGCTGATTGAGAAAAAGAGTCACTCGAAATTATTCACAGTCCCCAATGCAATCAAATGGTTGTACAGAGGGATGTTTTTCAAAAAAAAAAGCAAGATTTATCCGAACTTTTTGACAGTTTCAAAGTCCATCTCAAAGATTTTAATTTAATTTCACAATATGGCATTGGCAATCTCGGCTCTTATACAAGATAGCAGAATCTACCAACTGATACAATGTTTTTCATGATACATGTAACCAACAATTTCATACATTGCTGATTTTTACTCATTAATTCATCAGAGCACTAACGGAGTATTGATTCAAGAAAAAACCATACTCCGGAGTATGATTTCTGGCTTTCTAACAAAAAAACTATTTGAAAAATGAAAAAAAAAATCTCCTTTTTAGTCATCCATTTAGATATCATTTGAGTCTTACACTCAGCACAAGGTTTCCGTTTCCAACACAATAATACATCTGTAAGTATGCATTCTCGCCCTTCTCAAATTTCTACTAAAAAACTAGGCTCTCGTCCCCGTCTTGGGTTGAATTCGTTTGTTATAATGTCTGCCTGAAATTAAATCTCAAATTTATGATGGGATTTAATTAATCGGGGTTATCGAAAACTATAAACAGAATTTGAAATAAAAATTTTCCAATTTTATAACTGTCCCATGAATACATTTGAAAGTTTTCTTTGCAACACTTCATTCATATTTTTAAGAAGAAAAACTTAATTCACTTGAGTCTTTGGATCCCTCAATCTGGATGTTGTTGAATTCCCAACAAACCCGAAAATAGCGATTTTGTTTTGTCGGCACTTCGGAAAAAGATTTTTTTTTTCAGTTTCCCAAAACATATTCGTTGATGAAAAAATTGCGCAGGTAATATGGGAAAGAGTGGTATATTGGGGGTGCAAAGAAAGGTTAGATGGGAAAAGGCGGCTCCCTCTTTTGAATGATGCCGCTGGAAATTGCGCAAGTACCTACTTTCTCATTTTTCGAAAATTGGGAAACAGAGAAAAACTCTCAAAAAAGAGTTTAAGAGGGATATGATTAAATTTTATAAAAAATAAAGACAGAAAAAATCCGGATAAGATGGGGAATAGGAAAATGGGTTACTGTAGCAAAAAATAAGGGGGGGGGGGAGGGGAAGAAAACAGGGTAAAAATTGATGATACTGTAAAAACTGTAAGACAATTCACAATTGAAGATTTCTTTCAAAAAACAAAAGGATATGTAGATATGATAACAGCTTACAGAAATAGATATAACTAGTTTATCAATGTTTGTTTTAAATTTGTAAGAGTAGATTCACAGATCAACGTAGAAATTAAAGCAGAAAACGTCTCTAGAAATCCTTTCAACCTACCGTAGTTCCTCTAATAGAAGACCAACCAAACCGTTCATTTTACGTTTAATTACCGTATTTACTCTAATAGAAGCCCATGGGCTTCTATTTTCCAACCTCTCTCTCAAGGTGGGCTTCTATTAGAGGTGGGCTTCAAATAGAGGGTGGGCTTCTATTTTTCAATGATTAATTTTTTTTTTTAAATGTCCAAAAAATCAGAAATTTGGCAATTCAGAAGTTAAGAATTCTGAACTTCGAGGTTTTTTTTAATTCGAAGTATTTATTCAGCAATTCTAAACTCCATAATTCGGAATTTATGAAATTCTGATATTCCAGAATCGCAAAATTCAAAATTCAGGAATTCTGCAGATCAGAAATTGAGAAATTTTCAACTTCTGAAATACCAGTTTCAAAAATTCTGAAATTTTTAATCACCGTATTTTTTCTAATAGACGCCCATGGGCTTCCATTAGAGCATACTTGTGGAAAAGATGGCCGGCCCGCGGGCCGGGCCATGGCCGGGCTGAGATTTTTATGAAAGCGGGCCGGGCCGGGCCGACCCGCTTTTGGAAAATTTTGAAATTTTAGAGCGAATCATCATTTTTCAAGATGCTTTTTCTTCTTAGTGAATGAAAATCCACACTAGAAGCCGATACTGTCGACAAAAACTGTTTTGAAGTCGTAATTAGAAAAACATTTTCATCCTTGGCTTAATGAAGTTTGATTTTTTTGCTAAAAATTCAATTAAATTGACTTTTTGGGATGGTTGTATGTATTTGGATTAATATTTGTGCCATTATAAATATTTTGGCACATTCGAAAAATACAATTTTTGAAAAGTTGTCCTAGGCAAGCCGAGCGGGCCGAGCCGGGCTGACCCGCGGGCCGGCCAGCGGGCCAGGCCGGGCCGGGCCGAAAGTCTTGAGGCAAGCCACATGTATGCATTAGAGGGTGGGCTTCTATTAGAGGTGGGCTTCAAATAGAGGTGGGCTTCTATTAGAGGAAATACGGTATTTTAATTCCTGTGAAAGGTATCAAAATTTTGTCAACTGATAAATCGTTCATCATAACACAAATGTTTCATCAATTGACAAATTTTTGATATTTCTCACAAAAATCGAGATAATTGAGCTTAAAGTTGACGGTCTGAGTCGGTTTCCATCAGAGGGAATACGATACGTATTACTAAATTTCTCTTAGCATCTTGAAAGTTTTGAAATGAATATCTTACTAAAAACGTTTTGCTGCTTCCAAATGTTTTGCGTCAGGAAAGAAAACAAAGATTAGAATGAGCAATCGAATTTTCTGAATTCTCCAACCCGAAATGCGATAAACTTATCGAGAATGTCATCATCTTCTGAGAACGCTGGAGAAGCACTGCGAGATCCGAGCTGGAAATTCTTATTGGGAATTGTCGGGGGCATTTACGGGGCATTGTTCCAATCATTATTTTCGTCATTTTCATTATAGTCGATAACATCCTCGCTGTAGTTTCCGAAAATATTCATGCTAAAAAAATCCAATTTCCGCTGAATGGGGTATAGAAAAATCTCACTCTATAATTTTGAAGATTTTCCAAAATTCTCCATCATCATCCGAATAGATGACAGATTCTCTATCGTCGGGAGAAACGGAACCAGGTTCGACTAGCAGATCGGTCCATTTTTCAAAGGTGAGGACCTGAGGACCAAATTCTCTCGGGAGAATCCCCATTCATTTTTCATGATACAATTGTATGCAATTGAGCCCTAAACTTCATTTGTTGATGTTGGGAGAAAAAATTTTTTCACCATAGCATCGTACACATGTCTCTTGTAATTCAAAAGCTGATCACCAAGATCTTCAAGCAGTGCATAATGTGGATTTTTCTTCGATATTTCATCGCCAATTTTGTAGCAGAAAGACAGAGCAGTTTTTGCAACTGTCGATGGAATCGAGAAAAACTTGTGGCTGTACATAATCTTATAATCTGTCTGAGAAAGAAGACTTTTTAAAAATGTGAGTTTACTAGAACTTACAAAGGTTTCTACAACTTTCTCGAAAGCGTAAATTGCTCTGTCGCAACGAGAACCATACAATCCACGTAGCAGACATGAGCGGAATTCCTTATTCCTTATTCCTTATTCCGGATGTTTTTTCTATTCCTTATTCCTTATTCCTTCTTCCGGATTTTAAATGTTTCGTTCCTTATTCCTTATTCCTTCTTCCGAGTTTTTAAATTTTGTTCCTTATTCCTTCTTCCTTCTTCCTGATTTTTTTTTGTTATTCCTCTTCAAAACTTTAAAACTTTTTCTATCAAAAATCAGAAAAAAATTCTCAGAACTGGGAAAAAAATTTGAACGCTCTAAATTGCCGCGTAACATTATGTTCAGCGGAGCACCTTTGCACCGTTTCTCGAAAAAATTTTTTTTTGAAATCTTGGAAAAGTTATGAGTTTTTCTCAGTGTTTTTTTCAAAATAAATTTGGTTTTTACAATTACTACTTCAGAAAAATGTCCAAAAAACGGAGCAAGTTTGACGAATTCTTCGTCAGAACAGAAAAAAAAGTGTATCGGGCCTCATCTGTACCCCGAAAAAAAGCCGATTGAATAACGACACTGTTGACAAATTAACTTTTTGTTCACTCAATTTGAAAAATTATGGCCTGGAAAACTGATAGTTCACAATTATGATTTTGTTTTTTAGTTTTTTAATTCTAGTTTGAAAGTTCCTCTCCATTTTTCTTATTTGTGTCTCGGTTTGTGAGTTCTCTCTTCATTGTTCGTGTTTTAAAATAAACAGTGTTTTTCAAGACAAAAAGAAGTCTTCCTTCGTTTGGAAATTCTTTCGTTCCTTATTCCTTATTCCTTCTTTCGGATTTTTAAATTGTTATTCCTTCTTCCTCATTCCTTATTCCGGATTTTTAAATTGTTATTCCTTCTTCCTTATTCCTTATTCCGGATTTTCAAAATTTTTATTCCGCTCATGTCTGCCACGTAGGAAAGATGTCGGAACATAACCATCTTCTCCCGATTCGTCCATATTTTGAAGCACGTGAAACTGTCGATTAGCAGTTGATGCGATCGGATAGTAGACGATTGTCACTTTGTTTTGTGAACTTATCGTCTGTGTTCTTAATTAGAGGTCCCGCCTCCTTACCAACCAACCGGCTGACTACAAAACGGTCCTAAAGCCCATCTGGCGATGAGGCACGACAAAGGACGTGCGCGCGGGTGACTCACTGGCACCTCCGTTATAAATCCTGTGTTCTCGAGCCGAATAAAAGCACTGCTTTGATTTACTGCCTATCAAATTACTTGACCCCAACAGATGCATCAACTCGATAATCATTACATTATTACCAGATTTTTTTGAGAAGCGAGAGTCTTTTTTCTGAGTAAAAATGTATGAAAGGGAAAGTAGATTGACAATGTATTTAGGGGATATGCTACTCGAGAATTCAACTGTCCTAAAATTGAAGTTCCATTGCTAGATTGTATGAAATCATTGTGATCTCTGCTTTCCACCAAAGAAATCGGAACCGGGAAAAAAAAATGAGAGCTGATAATTTCAAATCATATATGTGTCCCACGAAAGTTTCAATGTGCGTCCTCCACAAGCAAAAAAATTCCGCCGACCTTTTTCATACACTAGGAATTGTCCTCCCTATCACATTTACGCCAGATTTGTTTGAAAACGAAAACTTTTCGTTCAGACCGAACTTCTCAAAGTTCTCCAGGATGATGTTCATTTTTGTATATTGTCAATTCAAAAACATCGCACGGATGAGCGCTGCTCCACCCTATTTGTTCATCATTAGCGCGGCAATTATCATGTGAAAACTTGGAAGAGCGTGATCTATTCTACAGTTTACAATTTTGTTGTTCATCCGCGTAATTTTTTTGAATTGACAATACTAAATACTTTTTGGCAAACCACAATAATTCATTTTAACACAACATTTCTTTACAGACAGCTGACGACAGAGCTTTCACTTTAGCGCTTCCTCTCCCGCAGCTTTCAGCTCGGCTTCAAGCTTTTTGATCTCCATTGCAGTATTCCACATGACGACGAGATCCGCGTGACACAGTGGCTTCTTTCCAAGATGAGCGAGCGCAAGGTTGAGTACAACGATTCTGTCCAATTTCGCAAGGTGTTCAGCACTGGCACCAATGCCTGCCTAAAAACAAATTGGATAGACTGGTTGGTCTAAATTTGTGAACTTACAACGACTGTGCGAATGAAATAATAACGGTTCGCCTCTATGCGATTATTGATGATTTGAGTGTCTGGGAAGTTGGTTGGAGTTCCGAAGACAGTGCTCCAGTCAATAGCCTGAGGTATTGGCGGTGGCAGATCCATTGCTTAGTACGAACGTCTGAAAAGTGGGAATTGAGAGTTTTTTCTGGAAGATGACGAAATGACGAGAAACAAGAATAAAACATTTGCAACAATCGATGTTTGTTCTAAATACATGCGCTGTTAGAACAGCAAATGTAAATGAGAAACATTGAGAGAGAAAAAATGGTGGTATGCGACAGAATTGCACTCATTTCAATCTTGTGAGAATTCGAACTATCTTCTCTTCCATCATATTTCGCTCTGTAGGTAACAAAAATGAAGGTGAGAGACTCAGACGACCTCTTGTTGGGGACGAAGAAAGTGGTGTTACATGTCCTTACCAAACATACTGTTGGGGGCGGGGCAGAGAGAAGGTCCGCGAGAGAGCGGACATGTGTTAAGGGAAAACGTCTGCTGACCAGGGGCTGTTGAAGAGAAAGCTGTCCAGAATTTTCTCTGAATTGGCGGACTTATAGGATAGAGTATAGGTTTTCACGCAACAGCATTGGCTACCTGCAACAGTGGCTGAATTTAAAAAAAACAGATTTAAACATATGGGATTCAGTCTACTCACATAACAGTGTTGCGCACAAGAGAAAAACATGCCACCGTACTCTAGTGACTTACAGGGAGGACCACCAAGACACAAATTAAGTTTCTGCTCCTCGGGCATGTATTTCTCTTCTCTCAATTTTTTAATTGAATTATTGGGATCGAAGATAGGCTTTCGCGTAACAATAGTGTTTATCTGCAACATTCGCTGACTTGTGATAACGAACCGATGTGAAAACAAGAGATTCTTGCCAATCTTTTTTTTATTTCCCCTTCCTTGAGCAGTGTTGCGCAGGAGAGCAGAACAACTCTACCGTACTTTAGTGACTAGCAAACAGGACCAGAAAGACACACAAGAAGGTTCTGCTCCTCGGGCTTTCATTTCTCGATTCCAAGTTTTTATCCGACTTTTTGGGCCCAGTATCCAAGGGTACATCGAAAAAGGGTACATCGAGTTCTTAGGGTACATTGGTTCCAAGGGTACATTGGATTGTTGGGTACATGTAGGTGGA